TTGCTATCATCGTGCAGCAAGAATGTGAAAAGTCAACCTGTTACATCCTTTTCCATTTTGGGGTTCCATAGCGGCTCTGACTTTCCCAAAGGGGTGACTGTTTCACCATGCCAAAGCGTGCTGCAACGAACTCTGGGAGCGGTAGTCGCTCAAAGACAGCCAAGCTGTGTTTGGGCCCATGGGTCGATCGTATTTGTGATGCTGTGAGGTGGGGTCCTTATTTCTTTTACAATTGTTCAGTGAGCCCGTCACTGTGCCAAGGGATGTCTTATTCTATATCTGAAAAATGTGGAAACCTGTGGCCTTACAATGTCCGATTGTTCTCACATCTTATTTGTCTGATATGCATACCATACTTCTACATCCCACCAATCTTTACAATACCCAGGTCCTTCGATGCGATGAAGAATCAGCACCCAGTGTCTTATGTCCTTGAGATCTTAGCAGACCCCGCGACTTTTGAACCGTTGAAATCGTGGCTTGTGGAGAAGATTCCTGACCTCCATCTACCAGAATTTGCCTCAATGCCCGAAGATTGGCTTGGATAAGTGCCCGCTAACCTTCCTCGAAGTTGTCCCAGAAGTGTAATGTACAATCAAAGGAATTCAACCAATTCTCCAAAAGCCAACGGCCTCAACAGTAAAGTCTTCTTGAGGGCTGGGCAAACCACCAACAATCACCTTTTTCGGATAATAATCAGTGTTCTGGTGGCTAGATGTACCCCCAAAGTATTAGACGTATCACAGTGTTAAGAAATTAACGTAACACAACTCACATTCAGCTTATGTCAGTTCATCAAACTTATGATTGGCAATGACAACATATAGGGCATCCCTAGTACCAACAACATACTGATGTTTCAGAAACAAGTTTCCTAAACAGATTTATTGATCAGACATTGCATGGTTGCAGTCTTAGCTTTGAAGAATCAAATTTCGTCCCCAGTAATAGTTTTATATATGTATATCAGATATGCTGCTGCATAGAATATGTTTGGCACACACCGCACGATGTACCGCACCAGGACCCGGAGCTCAATGAGCTAGTGCCGTTCGCCGTGAGCCTTTTGTCCATTGCACTGGAGAAGCCTGAGGACGGGCTTCCCATTCTGGAAGATTGGGCTACGACAGCTCGGGACATCTATGCAATCGGATTTGAAGGGCACCGGGAAACCATAGAGCTGAGGCTGCACAACAAGGAGATGAAGAAGGGTGATGCTTTGGGGTTTGCGTGCCTACTCCCCAACAAGGGCATCGGCAGAATCTCTATGCTATGGTTTGGTTTGCTGTGGACATGGAAGAAGCTATCCCAAGATCTCACAGATGATCAGACCAGGGATTTCAGCAGGCCAGTTACAAAGGGAACATCATTTTTTTGAGCTATGGGATCAAAAGGGTCACCCTGGAAGTAATTGAATCTGAGGATAACATAGGGTGAGGGTCTCAGTGAAACCGTCGTGGGCAGGCTTACTTAGCCAAGTCAATGGGTAACCAAGCCCAAAAACTGATCGAAAGTGAGTTCAAAAGTTGCCTGTTTTCCTCGAACTTGCCTTGGGGTGAGGGTCTCACTGAAACCCTCGCCCTAGCCTTCCCCAAAATGTGGGGCTTGAAGGGGTGATGCTTTTGATCTGGGCATGGGTTTCCTACTTGTCACATCTAAATGGGATTCTTGTTTTTTGACTGAGGAATCTTTTCAAAATTTCAATGGACTCATGTCCTAAAAGGCACCAATATGAGAGTGAGGATTTGGACCAGACCGTCGTCCCTATTCCTTTAGACTAGGGATTTTGGGGCCAAACAGAAATCCAAAAGGTTAAAGGAAAACATCCCCCTGTGTTATTTCACCTGTTCTGGGGTGAGGATTTGGACCAAACCGTCGTCCCTGCTTGTTTGGAATAAGGGTTTTGGCGCCAAACAGAAATCCAAAAGGTTCAGGGAAAACATTCCCCTGTGTTCTTTCACCTGTTCTGGGGTGCGGATTTGGACCAAACCGTCGCCCCTGTTTGTTTGGAATAAGGGTTTTTGGGCCAAACAGAAATCAAAAAGGTTAAGGGAAACCATTCCCCTGTGTTCTTTCACCTGTTCTGGGGTGAGGATTTGGTCCAAACCGTCGTCCCTGTTTGTTTGGAATAGGGGTTTTGGGGCCAAACGGAAATCCAAAAGGTTAAGGGAAACCATTCCCCTGTGTTCTTTCACCTGTTCTGGGGTGAGGATTTGGTCCAAACCGTCGTCCCTATTTGTTTGGAATAGGGTGTTTGGGGCCAAACAGAAATCCAAAAGGTTAAGGGAAACCATTCCTCTGTGTTCTTTCAACTGTTCTGGGGTGAGGATTTGGACCAAACCGTCGTCCCTGTTTGTTTGTAATAGGGTGTTTGGGGCGGAACGGAAATCCAAAAGGTTAAGGGAAACCATTCCCCTGTGTTCTTTCACCTGTTCTGGGGTGAGGATTTGGTCCAAACCGTCGTCCCTGTTTGTTTGGAATAGGGTGTTTGGGGCCAAACAGAAATCCAAAAGGTTAAGGGAAAACCATTCCCCTGTGTTTTTTCACCTGTTCTGGGGTGAGGATTTGGACCAAACCGTCGTCCCTGTTTGTTTAGAAAAGGGGTTTTGGTGCCAAACGGAAATCCAAAAGGTTAAGGGAAACCATTCCCCTGTGTTCTTTCACCTTTGTTTATAATATGGGTTTCGGGACCATAAAGAAATCCAAAAGGTGAAGGGAAAACATTCCCCTGTGTTTTTTCACCTGTTCTGGGGTGAGGATTTGGACCAAACCGTCGTCCCTGTTTGTTTGTAATAGGGTGTTTGGGGCGGAACGGAAATCCAAAAGGTTAAGGGAAACCATTCCCCTGTGTTCTTTCACCTGTTCTGGGGTGAGGATTTGGTCCAAACCGTCGTCCCTGTTTGTTTGGAATAGGGTGTTTGGGGCCAAACAGAAATCCAAAAGGTTAAGGGAAACCATTCCTCTGTGTTTTTTCACCTGTTCTGGGGTGAGGATTTGGTCCAAACCGTCGTCCCTGTTTGTTTATAATGGGAGTTTTGGGGCCATACAAAAATCCAAAAGGTTCAGGGAAACCATTCCCCTGTGTTTTTCACCTGTTCTGGGGGGAAGATTTGGACCAAACCGTCTTTCAGATATCATGAATTGTGGTCTAAGGCCAAACAAATACGTGTAAGGTGGAGGGAAAACATTCTCCAGTGTTTTTTCACCTGTTCTAGGTGCAAAATAAGCTGAAGTTGAAAGAAAAATAATTCCTTCAGTTTGATCGTTCCTCAAATCTCCACACCCAGCACCCAGTCATGGAATTGACAGCGCCTTCAAATCTTTCAGTGGCAGCAGCCATTTTTTGAAACCAAGCCTTTGCCAAGCTGGTGGCGAGGGTAGCAAACGGACGGGTTCTGCTGTATTGTTGAAAGGGTTTCGGACTCAACATATTACGACATATTATATGTATATATATATATTTTTTTTTCTCTCCCTCTCTCTATCTATCTATCTACTGGTGTTATTTTTTACACCACACACACATATGTATCTATAAATATTGTTTATAATCAGCAAAAGCACTGTAGCCGGTGTTTGAAAAATGTTCTAGCACTTGCGAGCGATACTCTCGCTCACAGCGCGCATTGGAGTTTCAGATCTAAGTTCTATCAGGAGCAACCTGGGGGGCTTGTGCTCAGTCACCGCTTTGCGGCCGCTCCATGAGGGCGCAGGGCAATGCAAGGTGCCAGCCTGCATGTAGAAGGTAGAATATGTACAGCGCCGCAATGACATGAAACACAGCGCCACCTTGTGGTAGATGCATGACTAGTAACCACCAAGCATGGCAAGATCTGGTAACAGGTTCCAAGTTCACGGCAGTGTGCACTCCGAGCAACCTTTATTGACTGACCTTGTTGGTCATCTGGTCATCCTGTCTCCGGCGAAAAACATTGTTCCATAGTATATGTTATATATGTACTTGCGCGTTGCTTAGAAGAGGGTCAGAAAGAGCGATGCTCATACGCGTATTTAATTAGAGTCCGAAACCCTTTCTGCACACTTGGCTGGTGTGCAATGATTATATATACTTATTGCTTGCCTTGGGTGAAATGGCACCACCAAGAACAAAAAAAACAAAGCACATAACCCCACAGTTAATAGTGGTAATCGAACCCAAATTCCCCATCGATTTTTGGTGATGATAATTTTGGTTAGGGCATGACGCTGGAGGACTTAAGACAATAAGGGTGTTCCGTGATAATATTTTTGTTTGTTACAAAAAGGGTGTTCCATGATAATGTTAATGATCGTTTTAAGTGGGGCAGTGTGATATAATAGCTGTTATGACTGTTATAACCATATTTGTTTCCGAGTGGGAATGGGATCAGATCCGTACCATTAAAATATTCCTTGGACACATGACATCAAAGTTGGTAGTAAGAACAGCGTTGGCCGATTCATGTTCAATTTTACGGTTTGTCAGATCCCATGACTACGAGAGGTGTCCACTTGGTATTCTTGTCCAAATCCAACTTAAGGTGCTTTGTGCTTTCCCAATAACAAGCAAAAACCTTTAGCAACATGGGCTTTAGCTCTTGGGTGAAAACTGCCAGCCTCAGCCACGATTTTGCAGGTGGATGAGGTCAGCGATGTCCATGCAATGTGTCTACATTGTATTGCAGAAACCGGAATTCTACACCTTTCGTCGGCTCCAGATGTCCCAGCAGCAAGCACTGCGTCAGCAGAAGAACTATCTGCAACAATGCCTGATCTTCCATTCCCATGCAGTTCGATTGCAGGACTGACATGGGCCCAATATGGCCCAATTAATTTGTTACTATCAAGAACCGGGTGGTTCTACCAAATGATTTCACTTTTAATGTTGCCACCTTATTATCTGTTCTGAAAGCCCTGGTCCTACATTTTTGAGAAGCAACCCACAGGCTGAGAACCCATCAGTGCAGTACCGAGACGCGTTTTTGAAAGCATGCGAAGACTACAACAACTATGGTGCTGCGATGTCAAACAGGAAACTCCAGATTGACACCAACATGGCGCTGAAGCTGTATGGGCTCAAAGTCCCTAATTTTGAACAGTCATCTTTTGTTGGATGAATTCACTGACAATGGATTTTTGTTGAATCTTAAAATTTCTGGGGGGCTAAGCAAAACCCAAGGTTGGTTTGACCGATGAATCATGGAGGGCTGCGGAGAAGCATTTCCATGTCTATCGCAGTGAGCGATCAGGCTGGGGTTCCCCAATCTTGTCGAAAATAACTTGTGTTGTAGGTATTAGGTGGATTTGTTTCCATAGTTCCTCACTCAGTGCCCCTGCAGCTTTTGGTCGTGACCATCTCCTGAGCGAACGGTGGCTTCTTGGGAGCACGGCCGAGGGGAGTGATGGCCAGTGGAGGGACATCCTGAAAGTGGAGAACCACAAGCAGGACCTTTTCCTTAATCGAATTTTCGCCCTTCATGCATTGGCTGTTTCCAGATCTTCCAGCAGTACCCAAGCCGTCAGGGTAACTTCGCAACAGTGGGACAAGGAAGTGAACCTAGCTTGTGTGGCTGCCTACGTCTTGGAAGCCATGAAGGAGTACCGGGACCCTGACAAAAACAATTCGACCGTTTTCTCTGATTCGTGTTTGAAGATGTGCCGCACTCGCTTTGTGGAAGGGATCCTCAATCTAGACTTTGGATACAATTTCCGTTTTACCACCTGAAACATTTGTAATTAATTGTCACCTCATTTCAGTTTCCATGGGCTGACGTCAGCATCAGGGACTACCATGATGATCTTGGAATCCATTTGGCTTCGGCGGATCCTACGTTCCAACCTTCCATCACAACCATGTGGACTGAGAACGCACCAGAGAAAGAGGCCGAGGACAAAGAGAGCCAAGCATTGGGCGAGGCAGAGGAAAAGATCCAAACCCTTGATCAGAACCGCTGCAACGCAGCATGGGAGGCAGATACTTTGAAACTTTGTCGTGATGCCAGCATGTGCGCTCGCTTGCTCCAGGCAGCAGTTTCCAATGAGAAGACACGGCGTCTGATGAAAGTGACACATCTGCGCGAACAGAACAACATTGGCGCCCAGCTAGTGACTAAGTTTGCAGAGAAACAGTGCTTCCATGTGGCCCTTGTCTGCCCAGAGGCTGACTCTCACTTGGCCAAGGCGGTGCTATTTCCCATAAAACTGCTTGGGCCGTGTTCCACATAAATACCACCTAGCCCAACCCCAAAAGCCACCAAGATGACACCCTGAGTACCCTGCCAGTTCATGTCCACCATCTATGGCGCCAACGGCTGCGTGATACTTTGGGTGGACTTGATGAAGTACGGCCGCCTCAGTGGCAAGGACTTGGATGAGGTGACCAGCAGGGTCAAGAAGGCGCTGTCTCGAAAACCCAATCACTCAGTTTGCTTCATGCTGGCTCCATGGTTGGTGTCAGAGCGCACCTCCAATGGTGCCAGAGGAGAGTTGAGGACTTGGGGTATCTTGGGGGACAATCAAAAATAATTAGGTTCAGCTCAACTAATTCGATCCATAATTAACAACACAAAAAGGGCAATGATAACCTCGAAGGATAGTTGTCTCAAATTGTTTCAATTATTTTTGGGTATATACACCCCTGCCAGGAAAATCGAAGACAAACTGGACGCGAAGAACTTGCAGAGTTATCCCGTCAGCGTTCGCTGCTCGCCACCCCACACAGCGAAGAAGGTTCCCATCAACTATTGGGCATACATTGTGTTCACCGACGCTGATGTGGAGAACAATGCCTTCTTCAACTCCATGTTGATGACGGACAGGACTGGAGTATCCAACCTTCACCCAAACTGTGTTTTGAGTCGAACCCCTCCACTATCTTTACGTAAGAGTACCTTGAAGAAAAGATCATATAACTTCTGTATCCACGCCGACCCCTCTGGGCAGGGCAACAAGAAAGGTGATTCACTTCATGCCTGAAACCGAGTACGTTGTCCCCTCAACTGGAAAGGACAGCCTTCCCAGCGCAAGCGAGGGGCCACGGTGAGCTTTTGAAAAAAATGCTTTTTATTTTAATTTAGCAAACAATGGATGCCCGAATTTATGGATATTACCAGGGTTGTGGATTCACCCCCTTCAAAGTTTCATGATTCTTGGGTCCCACAACTTAAAGCCATTCAAATGTTGAGAACCAACCTGATGTTTTCCACTAAGTATCGATCACCTATGGGGATGACCTTGGAATGTAAACTGATCATCTGCTACCAATTCGAACTGGTAAGACACTATGATCTATAACACAGGATTACCTTGAGAATCAATATCTTTTCCAGCTACTTTCAATAAGTACCACCACCACCTGGCCCCACACCAGGTCAATGAGCGACGCCCAAGAAAGTGCTCAGCTCCTGGCTGGATCCGAGATGCCCACTGCTGTCTTGGAATCCCTCCTGAAAGGGGCCGACTTCACTGGCAGGATCTGTGGAGTTTGCAACTTCACCCCCTATGATGGGCATCTTGAACGGGTTTGCATGCGCTGGCAAATGGAGTATGGGCAAGATGCTCTTGAGCTCAGGTCTTTTTCCATGGGGGCATATCCCGATGCAGTTGCCTTCAGTGAGCGCTTGCTTGGCAATGAGTTGGTGCAGGAGAGGGAAAATCACCCGCAATTATTTGTTTGAATCAAGTGGTTAATAAAAGAAACAGTCCCTGGTCACATTGGTTTTTGATTACTTTTTGTTCCGCTGAGCTGCAGGAGTGGAAGAAAGGATCTCCACTCTTCAAAGGGTTCCGTGCCTATGATCCAAATCCAGCAGCGTCTGAGGCCTTGAAGTTGGAGGACTACCCCATGAAGTATGTGAATGTCACCAAAGATTCCACCAAAGATGGGGCGCGGCAGTACCAGTTCTCATTGCCGAACTCGGTGAGAACCCTCTACGCCCATGACCCCATTCACTGCGAAGACTGGCGAAAGTTGATCATGGATTTCGACTCCAAGTTACTAGCCTGAAACTGGGGAATGTCTTTCCCACAACGGCAACATGACTTAATGTTCTTGACTCTGCGGATGTCCCATTTCTTCTTTGGATATCCCCCACACAGGTTCCTCATTTTTTCTCGGCTCCTGTCAACTCAGCAGGTTCCAGATCAGTGCTGACATCGTGGTCGAGGACCAGGTGGTTCCTGCAGAAGACATCCCCGAGGACCCTGAGCCATGGGAAGATGAGCCTACGACCCTGGAGCAACTCCTGGACTTGTATGTTGTGGAGGGGAAGTGCAACGCAGGGGTTCCTGGTGGTATGATCTATGTCACCAATGCAACACGCCGCAAAGAGGAGAAGCCAATCCAGTGTGTTGAGGGCCAGCGCTACAAGCTCTTCTTTGTCACTGGTCAAATTTCATTGTTTCGAGGGCTCCAGTTGCAACCCCTCGAAACAATAAATGATACCCAAAGCAGTTCTGAAGCAGTTCTGTTTACTACACTCACTGTTTTTGAAAACAACTTTTCAACCCAACAAGGTCGCTCATGTTGGCTTGACCTTGCCAGCGGATGAAATCGTGATCGCACATGGAAAGGCATCGTTCCTCAAACAGGAGAAAATTGCCAAGCTTTTGCGTGAAGGTGGAGGCCTGGCTTCAGCACCTACACCTGCCAGTACTGCTCTACCATAGTTACTAATTAGTGCGAGCCATTTTGGCATGTTTCTAGCAAATAGCCATTTGCTGTTATCAAGCCTTCCCGAGTTCCTGCAACCCACTGTTGCCCTGCCTCGTTTGCACCATCGAAGCTTGCTAAGCTGTTACGCCATGGGTGACCTTGCGAAGATGCTAGCTCACCATGGGCTGAAAGCGGACAAGTGTTTCGGGAAAGAACTATTTGGAACATATGCTATTAGTTTAGTCACCCAGTCCGCGCATAATATTAAATAGAAACTAAACCCCTTTTTTTAGCACAATATCTTATATATTTTGTATCAAATGACACCTCTGTTTTAGTTTAAAACCACTACTAGGTAATACTAGGTACCTTATATTCCCTGATTCCCTGCTAGCACTGTTCTTTATTCTTTCTAACTTGTCAGGACTTGAGCGCCATGATGACTGAGAGCCCTTCTTCCTGCCAGACACCTCCTGCAATTCCTCGTCCTGCTATCCCTGCTTCGACACCGTCCCCATCTCCTTTGCCCAAGAATGATTCCAAGGTTGACAAGAGCAACAAGACTGTACGAGAAGAGCCATTGCCCTTGACCACGTCAGAAGGGCCTGCCAAAGGAAACCCACCGTTGGACAAGGAGACCCAGGAGAAACTTGTCAAGGATGTCTCTGCCGCAAAGGATGCTGTGAAGTTCTTGAAGCAGGGCTTCCCGAAAGAGACCACCGGCAGGAAGGGTACTGGGGAAGCTCCTACTGGTCGGGGTCGTGCCAAGGGACGTGGCAAGGGTGGCCGAGGCCGTGGGAAGGGTTCCAAAAAAAAGGAGGAAGCTGAGGAACTTCCCGAGACACACACGGGTTTCGGGGACGAGGATGATGATGAGATAGTAGACCTACTTGAAGAGTTAGATGAAGAGTCAGATGCATCTGTGGATGCACCAACTGAGCGCTTGTCACAGCCGCGCACTCCTCCCCAGCCCAAGGCAGCCGCCAAGGCCAAGACCAAGGCAGCAACAGCACCGAAGACCAAGAGAGCACCGAAGGCAGCACCGAAAAAGAAGGAGAGCTCGAAGGCAGCACCGAAAAAGAAGGAGAGCTTGAAGGCAAAGGCGAAGGCGAAGAGCAAAGCGTTGACCAAGTGCAAGAGCACCCAGAAGCGTGCTGCCTCCAGTGACGAGGCAGGTTTCATAAATTATCACCATTGCAAAAAAGAACATGTTTTTTCAAAAGGGTTGTCCAAGGTTTCTAGTACATGGTCTTGCTTGGTGGTTGCCCATCAGGGACGTGTGCCGACTGGAGACCATTCTTTGAGACATGCTTACCACAAACACCTCAAAGACAGCATGGCTTCGCTCAAGAAGGATGGCATCACAGGACGCGCTGCACTCAAAGAAGCTCGCTCCACGTCCCTCATCGAAAAACATATTTGTGTAATGGGTGATCCCCCTAAAAGAATAGATTTTTCTATGTCCCTTAGAGGCAAAGACTTTTAAAGCCACAAGAAAAATTAGCCTTGTGAAGTCCCCCCAAAGGTTTACTGTAAAGCCAATCAACACTTATTTAAAAATACGTTTTTGGACTCAAGAGAGAACCGAGGTGGAACAACCATCCTGTTCGTGTGGCTGCCATGTCGAAGATGACCAAGTCTGAGCGCAGCCGCAGGCGCTTGGTGAAGCCAAAGCGCTCTGGCAATGCAGACAAGGAGGATCAGCAGTGAGCCGGACTTACTCGATAGGGGCTGGTTTTCTAAAACCACCATTTTGAGCTTCGAGCACTTTCCAAAGGGTGGGGATCCTGTCTCACCTTTTGAGGTTCAATCAATTGCAACAACGGGGGAACAAAACATTGTATGCTCCAGTCATGCACTGCAATCCTGCATATTTTTTGTTTGCAGCGATTTTATCTTTAAAGTGCAGGTTCTGCCTTGGACAACACTGTCACGTTTGAAGTGCACAGTGACCTCACCCGTGTGGTCCTTGAAATTTCCGATGAGGGGGCCAAGAGCATGAAAGATTCCGAGCCAGCATCGCTGAGGGCATTGATGGCAGAGTTTGAAGAGGCACAGATCGTGGACACCACCATTTGCTGCCACGAGTTCTCAAGGAAACCAACCAATCACGATGGTATCTAGCCCGACTTAGATTCACCTCTTTTTTTTGAGCTGCCTACACCTGATTTTTACATCAGCGCAGTTTTGACAAAAACATAATTTATACGAAAATAATCATCTAGACTCAGGTGACCAGAGTGTACCAGAGGATGGATGGAAGATCAAGCCCAAGGACAAGAAGGTTTACCTCCAGTGGACACCGGTCGTGAACAACTTCAAGTATTCCAACATCGCCAGTGCATTTACGAACGAGGTGCCTTGAAATCCCAGCATCAAACTTGTTTATATGAACAAGGGTTAAGGGATGGTATGTAGAGATGTTGTATTCGGCCGCCGTCATTTTTAAACATATGTGATTTCCTGTGGGGAGCGATAGGGAACCTTGAAGAGCGATACTCCCTCAAGTAATGCAAATATGTTGTCACGGCAACATGCGTGCACTTTCCAGAAGTCTTGGAGCAAAATTTCTGACACCTGCTGTATCTCAACCAGCAAGACACCCACACGCTCTCTCCAAGACATTCTCTCTCTCTCTCTCTCTCTCTCGCTCTCCCTCTCCTTTTCCCTCTCCCTCTCCCTCTCTCTCTCTCTCTCTCTCTCTCTCTTTCTCTTATTCTTCTCTCCTCTCTCAACGCACGCACACACACACACACACGCGCGCGCACCTGCACACATGGGCGCACGCGTGCAAATGACTTGAAGGTGTGCAAGAAATAATCGTACATGCTTTCTTCTTCCCATGTCTTTCTTCAGCGCGCGGACAAGGGAAAGCTGCAAGGAGCAGATCAGGCGATGAGTAAAGACCAGAATGCCTCCGGCAAAAAAGTTTTTGGGAACGATGCCTGATTCGATATCTGGAGTGATACCCCAAATCAGCAGAAGTAGACAGACCCCCAGACTTGGAGAGAAGACGGCAGCTGCTTCCGGACTTTGAAGAGCATGGCAGAAAGCATCTAAAACGGCCGGCTTGTGCTCGCAACCTTCAAGCCAAGTGGCGGGCCTCACCGACATCATGATTTAGTTCCAGCTTCTCTACCAGCAGTGGCGAAGCTTGAGTGAGCAGTTTCTGTAGTAAGGGGGTTTGAAAATGGTTGGGCACTTTGAGGGGGAACGTGCCCTGCATGTTGCCAAGCTGACCGATGGCCACAAAACTAGTCGCTAGATAATTCAAACATCTCGCTGACAGAATTTGACAGCGAATCGTGGACGCCTGCCTGAACATGCTTCATCATATTTAGCAAAAGTGAGCTCCCACTGTGTGAAGCGATAGGGAACCTTGAGGAGCGATACCCAAAATGACCATGGAACCAATACCATGTTTAGACCATCGCTCATATGGGGTACTAGACCCCTTTTAAAGTCATAGGAGCCTGAGTCTTTATCCCAAAGTGTATCCCAAACGGTTTCCTCAAATGTATCCCCAGAATGTGGCCCAAACTTTATCCCAAAGTATATATTTGAAACATATTCCTGAACCATATCCTTAAATAACAAACTATATCATCCGTATCACCAAACTACTTCTCCCAAAATATATCCCTGCGAGGCCCTGGATGCGTCGCGCACGCTGCAGCGTTTGTGGCGTGTCAGGTATGTCAAGGCTGACAATGAGCTGCAGCCGTGCAAGCCATTGTACATGTGGCGTAGCAGGTTTGCAGGCACCGATGTTCCTACTTCGAGCTGTATCAGACTCATCTAGATTTGGCAGGTCGAGCCCCCAATTTTGAGATGGTCATACATTTACCATTGCAGCTAAGGGACTGTCAATGTTTGAAAATGGGCTGATGAATGGAGCCCAATGGATGTGAGTGGGCGAAGACTTGCAGGGCTGCAGTGAATTTAAATTTCATTGCTTTTGGGTAGGCAAGCTAGGCAGTCCCAACTCACCAGTTCAAGTCCGGATCCTCCCAGCGCTGTCAAAAATGAGGCTCTGACTGATGGATGGCGGGTGGGCGGAACATACCCATTGAGCCACAAACCCCCATCCCCATTTACACATAATTCCATTTGCCTCTTTGTTTCTGGGGTTTCATTTGGCCACATCGATCTTTGATTCTGAATCCATTATTTCGATGATTCTGATTCCATCCTGGTTTGCATTGCCCTTCTCAGGCACATTACCAACAACCAATTGCAACGAAATCAAAGCCATTTGACACGAAATTTCCTTATATGTATATATATATAAGTACTGTGCTGATATATACATCTATAAATGTGGGTATTCTGTATATGGTTGCATATGTACAGATAGCTGGTTTCATTGATAGATCAACTGATCGATTATGAGATACACAGATTGAATCGATGGATACACAGATAGGCAGATAGGCCATACACATGTTCGGTGGGAAACCTGACTAAATCAAGCCAAGTTGTTGGGGTTTTAGCCTCTGGTAAACTAACAGTTCGCTATTGAAAATGGCTATTTATAGTGGATTTATCCATTAAAAAATGGTGATTTTCCATAGTTATGTTAGTTTACCAGAGGGTAGCCAAATTGCTGCCGCATATCCAAAGGTTAGCTCAGTTCCTGGAAGATCCTGCACGCTTCTTGGGCAATCCAGGTTGGGGTTGCTGGAAGCTGCAGGGGCTGGCAGTCTGGACTGGTCGGTGCCGTTGAATAGGTGTGTCAATGGATTTTAGACACCCTAGCAATTTTCAAAGATGATTAACAAATGGATGTGGGTCAAAATGGAAGACCTAGGGGACCACAGATGTGAATGTCTAGTTTAGTATTCACCATCCAATTATTGGGGTACCTAATTTTGACCCATACCCAAATGGATTTAGGGATACTACATTTTCTGGCAACCCCAAATGGCTGGCCTGCCAATGAGCCTTGAAGTGATCGGCTCACAGACCCGAGATTTCGTGTTTCGATTGGTAGTTATAAGCCACTGACCAAACACCAACTTCATGCAGAACCCCCAGTACATACAGTGGCTAGACCTGCCTTGGGAGAGGGTCTTCACCTTGGAATTTTTGGGAGAGGGTTTCCGACCCCATCCAATTCTTGGTGTCAAAATTTGTGTGCCCACCTGTTATTTGTGCTATGACCACAATTTTTAGATAAATTGAGTAGATGTGTTCTGGTTGGTGATTTGGAACATTTTTTATTTTCCCATATTGGGTTCCGTTCGTAACCCCAACTGACGAACTCATATTTTTAAGAGTTTTTTTCACCACCAACCAGTGTTTGTCACTGTCTCCATCTTATTTTGAGGCCGTCTCCAACCAGTGATTGCTACTCACATCCATTCCACGGCATCCATTGCTACTCATAACCGACAGACCAAAGCGGTTGAACCGGCAAATCATCAGCATCTTGGGGGACACATGCCTTTGGGAAACCAAGCTTTAGCCTCTGGTAAACATAGAAAAAGTGGATCTTTCCAGTTCGCTATGTAAACGTTTACCAGAGGGTAAATATTCCCATTGTTGTAGGTTTCCATAAGACATGTCAGTTGAACTATGTTGAACTCCCCCAAGATTTGTCTGTTGACTTTCCCGAAGACTTTCTGAGAACTCTGACCCCCCAAATTGTCGACAACATCCTCCCATTTGTTTTCTTGATCGAAACAAATCACAGTTCTCGACCACCTACCCCCCAAAAATCTTGACCACCTCGCCCCCAACAAGAATTTCTGACACTCCCAATATCACATTGTTGGTCATATATTATATATATCTCTCTCCCATCATATTCCCATGACATACCTCCATCTCAACATTGGTGATTTCCCATTTGGGGATGGGTCAAGTTATGAAAAAAACACCATATGACTGGAGCATCCAGGCCCGCAACTTGTTGAGGACCATCCAGGCCCGTCCGCCATGGAGACAACTCATGTCTCAGCGCCTCGGTGCCGTGGCGAGCAAGGCAGGTCTCGCGGGTGGCCTGTCCTTTGCTTCGCGCTATGCGGCGCTGCAACGCGTGTGCCGAGGGGACCTGGGGTGGTGTGATATGGGTTTTGTAATGTGTTTATAGAGTGTGCCTATACACATGATGTACGTAGAAATAAACAAACACATACATAAATGAATAAATAAATAAATACATAAATAAATAAATAAATAGGTAAATAAATAAATCTTAAAAAACATAGGTACATCATATATAAATGTATATATATATACACACACACAAACATACGAATACATATTGTATATGCGCATAGATCTAGATGTGGTGTTCTCCCTTAAGTTCGACCCAAACGACACCTTCCGGGGACCTAACCGGACGGCGCCATATGGAGGTTCAACGATCACCTCCGAGAGTGGCATTACCAGCGTCAAACGGGGACCTTCTTTCAGATCTGGCAACCTCCAGGTGTCGTTAAACGGTGGAAACGTGTTGCAGGGCACATGGGTCAAAAGTCCATCTTTGGGCTGTTGAAAACACCGAAGGTTTTCATGGTTTTTGGAGGCAATCTATGGCTAATCCAAAGAATTATGAAGGGTCTTGGTTTTTGACGAATGTCCATGTGCAAACGAGGTGCACTGGGGGTTTACCTTTCGTCAACCCAGGCAGCTGTGAATCTTTAGAGATCTACATGCGACATACGTTCGACAAAAATTAGCAGACTGCTGGTTGGTAGTTTAATTTTCTGGTACATTCAAACCCTGTTTACAAATAACGAACCATAAATCAATTGATGTGTAGCATAATCAGCATTTTTAGGTACGGGCCCTAACCTGTTCTCCCTGCTACTAACCTTCGCTGTCCGGGCGACTGAGCCTGAGCCTCGTTTTGCTTCAGACGCCGCCACAGGAGTGATCTTCAGTTGCTTGAAGAAGGAGCACTACGCCCCTCTGCGTCACATCACCTTTTTGCTGGTCAACTTGGTCAACCTCCCAAAAGCTACCTACGTATGTTTGACTGTAATGTCTACAATGTCGTCCAACGGAGTTGAGACACCTAAATCATCCTAAATCCTGGAAGTAGTAAGCATATGATTGAGAAATGTTGAGAGATTTTCAGTGGCGACAACTACACCCCAAAGCCGAGTCGCATGTCATGCACTGGCCGCTGGCCCATTTTTGAGGGATCTCAACCATGTCTTTCCAAAAACCCAACATGTGGGCGTTGTATCACCAGCAACCACTGGGTCACTGCCGGCAGCCACTTGGCTTCCTACAAGTTACACATTTAACCATTTAATCGATCTACAGAAAAGAACGCACATCCTAGTGACATCTCTCCTGCTTCAAGTCAGACATAGCGCTGTTGATGTGTTCATTTTCTGGTTCTAATGGGACTTAGCCATCAATTTCTAAGGTTTTTTTTGGGATTTTAACGCATTTTAACTTTAACTCAGAAGAAATGCAGCCAGGCGCCAGGCACTCGCCCAGCCATGGAGGGCCCCTTGTCGCCCAAATCGCCCAAGTCGGAGCGGCCCTCTCAGCTGACAACCCTGGCGGCGACCGAGAGGCGACATCTGAGGGATTGGTCAAAACCTATCAGTATGACTGGGGAATAACCATCCAGCACCAGCTATGACAGCTATGACTTAGGGTGCCATCCGGGTGGCAAAATTGACCACCAGTCCGACGTGGGGATTTGGGATGGATTTAGGCTCATAATGAGCCTTCATTTGAGCCATGAAACTAGGGGATTGAGCCATTGAGAATGGGCCGCTTGAGGCGAAGGACGCCGTGCTGGCTGCTGCAGGAATGCCAGCAAGACTTCCAGTTGCATCGAGAGGCAGCTCAGCAAGACTGGCATCGAGAGGCAGTTGAGTGTGGCTGGCATCGAGAGGCAACAGAGCAAGACGGGCTTTGAGAGGCAAGAGCAGTTCCAGTCAGTGGATATAGAACTGAGTATAAGAACTGACTATAGTTATAGAGGTCCCATATCCCAACTTATGGAGTTTGAATTCCCATGGTTATACCCATAATGGTACCTTCTGGCCTGCAGCCCCAGAGGCAATCCAGTCTCAGAATGACCGCAGTCACGATCGAACGACAACTTAGTGGCTTGAGTCAGCTGCCTACCTTTAAGAAGCCCTTCAAGATCGACTTGTTGAGGGCCGAATTTCGACAGACCCACCTATTTGCATGACTGGTGAGTTTTATATTTCCCCACATCTTTCTTTGTGTGGGGTTCTTGTTTTTGGTTGTGCACTCCCGCCTGCCTTCCGCCCTCCCGCCCACCGCCTGCCTCACACACAACTTGCTCACACACACACAACTTGTCCACACACAACTTACTCACACACACAACTTGTCCATACACAACTTACTCACACACACACACAACTTGCTCACACACAACTTGTCCACACACAACTTACTCTCACACAACTTGTCCACACACAACTTACTCACACACACACACAACTTGTACACACACACACAACTTGTACACACACACAACTTACTCTCACACACAACTTGTCCACACACAATCACACACAACTTATTATACTTTGAGTGGCAGGCGTGGCACTTGGCGACATCCACCTCCACTTTACGTGGCACTTATGGCACTTATGGCACTGGGCTGGCTCTGGTGGCGCGCTTGGCCCCCGTTTGGCACCACGGCGCTGTTTGCCAGGCGTGGCACTTGGCGACATCGACCTTCACTTTGCGTGGCAGGCGTGGCACTTGGCGACATCCACCTCCACTTTGCGTGGCAGGCGTGGCACTTACGGCACTGGGCTGGCTCTGGTGGCGCGCTTGGGCCCCGTTTGGCGCCGTGGTCGTGTTTGCGTGGCAGGCGTGGCACATGACGACATCGACGTGCATTCTGCGTGGCAGGCGTGGCACTTGGCGACATCGACTTGCATTCTGCGTGGCAGGCATGGCACTTGGCGACAGGCACACTTGGGCCCCGTTTGGCGCCGTGGTCGCCCGCGGCGGCAGGCCTGGCACTCGGCGACATCGACCTTCACTTTGCGTGGCAGGCGTGGCACTTGGCGACAGGCGCACTTGGGCCCCGTTTGGTGCCGTGGGCGTGGCACTTGGCGACATCGACCTTCACTATGCGTCGCTTGGCGACATCGACTTGCATTCTGCGTGGCAGGCGTGGCACTTGGCGACATCGACCGTCACTTTGCGTGGCAGGTGTGGCACTTGGCGACATCGACGTGCATTCTGCGTGGCAGGTGTGGCACTTATGGCACTGCGCTACCAAGCGTGGCAAGCGTGGCACTTGGCGACATCCACCTGCACTTTGCGACACTCACCTTTGTTTTGCGTGGCACTTGGTGACATCCACGCTGCAAGTGAGTCCATGTCTCTCAAATACGACTTTGTCACACGCAACTTTGTCACGCACAATCTGTCACATCTCTTTCTCACATGCGACTTTATCGCACACAACTTTGTCAAACACAACTCTTTCGCACATAACTTTTTCACACACATCTCTCTCACACACAACTTTGTCACCCACAGCTTTGTCACACACACAACTTTGTCACCCACAACTTTGTCACCCACAACTTTGTCACACACAACTTTGTCACACACACGATCTCTCTCACATGCAACTTCTCTCTCACACGCACATCTTTGTCACACACACACAACTTTGTCACACACACTACTTTGTCACACACACACACACAGCTCTTTCACACACAACTTTTTCACACACACACACAATCTTTCACACACAACTTTCTCACACACGACTCTTCACATATAACCTTTAAAATGATTGACCCTCCACCATCTCCTCTTTGTCTTTTCTTCTTTCTCCGTGCGGCTTCAACCACTTTTTCTGATTATTGGAAGAACTTGACTTGTGGGGTTATCCGGTCCTTTAATTTTTGATTGGAGACATATCTCCACACATAGACACATTATAATATACATGTGTAGAACCCCAAACATTGCTATGTAGGCATTCTTCACCAGGATTGGCTACATCCGCCTGGCCGAACAGAAGTTTGCAGCGCGGGTCTTCTTTGAGTTTATGTTCAAAGATGCGGCGTTGCAGGTGGAATCCTCCGTGGTTCCATGGTTTGCCCATCTTCAAGGTTGATTTATGTTGATTTATTTCGCTCGACAGCCCATCATTTTCTGCTCGCCGCTTAATAAAGGCCGAAAGGCCCACACACAGAAGATGTTGATAGGGTTATGCAAGCAATGTTTTCAGGGCTTTGCCACTCGGAATTAATTCGGGTCTATGTAGACAAGCTGCTACTTCAAATATACATTTGGAATTTGCACCCCATTTTTATACCCACAGCCCAGTGAGAACTCAATTCCAAGAGGCAGGGTGGTTTCACATGTTTTCTATGTTCAACCATGGATCATCACATATTTCTCAAGAGGTTTCATACATTCCCAGCATTGGTTTAAGGGACGATTGATGTCCAAAACGACAATATCATCTTTGCCGGTCAAATCAACATTTTTTGTCTTAGTTTTTCAGCCACCATTTGGTTTCCGAAAATAGGGCACCCCAAAATCACTTGGGTAAGCATCGTTTCCCGATTCACTGGGTTGTTTTGGGTGTATACCTATGTCCAGACACACCCAAATGTTTTGCAGAACACACTGATTTTCTATTTGGTAAGATTTCCAAATATGGCGGGTTGGACCATGGCTTGGGGCATTGGAGCACAGGACGAACTATTGCTGGACATGAACGCGGAGCAGGTGAGTTGGAACCCGCACCAGGGCGGCCTCCCCCCGGCCCGGTGGTACGCGCAGCACATCAGCTGGTTGAATGCCCTGGAACCGCCATCGGTGTTGTGGAACAAGATCATCAAGTCTGGGAACGACCTCAGGTTTTCCATCGAGGTGCCTCTTCGGTGCGAAGGGTGCGAACCCAGAAGATCATCTGAGTCTGAGAAATCTCAGGAGAAACTAAGGGGAATACTTAACATGATTATACATGACTAATATGACTAGGAAGTAAGGAGATGGACAAAAGTCAAAAGAATCAAGCCTTACAGACATCCACCAGGTACAACCCCACACCCCAAATTCAATCTTAAACAATCTTCTTCTGCGTTCAGGGTTTGATTTTTTGTCCACACAGCAGGGGTTTGATTTCATCGTCCATCTACGGTAGTTAGACTATGTTAGATCTATACCTACAAACTCCTCTAGGCCTCTAGGCAGAAAAAAGTGCCTAACCTGCCTGTAGGCGTTTATTTCTGCCGATTCCCAGAATAAATGCCTAGGCCCCAAAAAATGCCGAGGCTGATAAATTTTGTATTGTCTTGTCATGTTGTTCAGTGCAGAAAAATGTTTCGAACAGAATTCTGCCAAATTCCGCTTTTTCCCGCCTAGATTCCGGTTCTTTCCTCCTAATTTCCGGGTAAAAATGCCTAGGCACAAAATGATGTCGTAGCACAAAAAACATCTTGAGATAAAAATGCCTACATCAATATAAATCTGCCGAGTTTTGCAAACTTCCGGGTGAAAGTGCCTATGCGGCTGCGGCGCCGAGGGCAGAAAAAAATGCCTAAGGGTTCTTCTATAGGTACCCTCTGGTAAATTAACATAGACCCTGAAAATGATCAGTTTATAGTGGAAACTAGTCTTCCAACCCCTATCTGGCAGGGTCTATGTTAATTTACTGGAGGGTATATCTGATTGCTTTGGGGTATTTCACATGAAGCCAGTGCAGGTGCAGGGGGAATTTGTGGTGCATTTCGAGTGCTATGACTTTCCCATTGACATCCAAAGTCTGACGGTCCTGCTGGAATTTCAGCTGGCGGATGAGGGGATTACACCTGTGGAGTATCTTGGAAGATCTTGGCGATCAAAACCTATGGATTGATGGGGATTAAAAACATGGGTTTTGATGCAGATTTGACCATGAAAAATGGTGATATCATGGGACATACCAAAGTCAGTTCGATTTTTCAGGAACAGGACCATTTTTGAGCGAATCATCGCCAAGATCTGTGTCTGTCTTTGCCTTGACAAAGCGTCACGAACAAGCTGTCATAAGCTCCCATGTCCAACCGAGGGTAGTGTCTCGTCACGAACAAGCTGTCATAAGCTCCCATGTCCAACTGAGGGTAGTGTCTCATTCAGGGACGAAACTACATAGTTTCCCTAGTTACTCGTTGAAGTTGATTCGTAGCAGCGTTTTTCAGAGCCAAACCAGCCTCACTCCACGCATTCGAGGCTTTCCACCAGCCACACGCAAGATGTGGACGTGAATCGCCAAAACTTTGCCTGGGAAAATGAATACGAACTGGGCCTAAGCATGTCGGTGGGCATGGCCAAACGCCATGCTCTGTCCACCCGGACCTATCCTCACGTGATGTGTTCTGCTTGGGTCTTGCGGAATCCGTTGCTCGGTGGTGTCATGTTTTTTTTATAGATCAGATCTCTGGTGATGTATAGAACATAGCGATGGAACATCACCATCATTCAATACAATATAATTCATAGGTAATTCATCCAAAGTTGGCCATTTTCCATCGCTTTGTCAGATGTCCAGAGGATATAATTGTTCCGATGGGTTTTAGCCAAGTTTGTTCCATTTGTCCGTTCGTTTTTCAAGATGGGATGATTACTTTGGTCCCAGTCGTGACTGTTGGATCATCATGAATTGTTGGCTTTACTGGGTCATGCTGTATCATGCCAGACTCTCAATGATTGTTGGGATGTAACCATGATAACTACGACAATGTCACTTTTTGGATATCAACACTATCAACTATCGGTACACTCAGTAGTCATTCATCCCCAATCTTGGTTTATTTTTGGCAAAACCCCTACCCTCTGGTAAACTAACATAACTATGGAAAATCACCATTTTCAATGGGTAAATCCACTATAAATCACCATTTTCAATAACTTTTTGTATGTTTACCAGAGGGTATTTGGGATGATTTAAATATTTTTAAATGGACCCCAATGGATGCTGACTGGAAAGGTTTTTTCGGGACCATCCCCAACCTTGGATATAGTTAGTTTTATCAGTTTTTTGGCTGTTGAACATGAACAATCACCAGCAAAAGGCAAAAGGCATAAGCATTTTTTTGTGGACTATAAGGGTCAGATTGACCATGATAAAACCTCCGTCTCCAGTGGAGTTTCCCATCTTTTCCCCATATTTTCCCATGTTTTCATAGGTTTTACTTCCTGGTGAATGTGGCCCTGCCCAACATGCTCTTCGCGGCCATGGCGGGTCTGCAATTTTTCGTGGACGTGGACAAAGTGGCGGACAGGCCCCTTGTCGGAAATCCATGGGTGGGCAAGGAGTGCTTCACTACTCTTCACCATCAACCACCAAACGGATGGTTTTTAAAGCCGAAAAAAATAATGGATAACAATGGGATATTTCCCACAAATCAACTGGTGCAAGATTTTGCAACCATCCACCGTATTTTCCTCTTGAGTCTGTGTTCTGGTTGGTGGTTTGGAACCATGGAATTTTATGACTTTCCAAATATTGGGGATAGTAGTGCCAACTGACTTTCATATTTTTCAGAGGGGTTGAAACCACCAACCAGATTCCTCTTGAGTCTGCGTTGTACGTGGTGTTTGAAGGCCCTGATTTGATCTAATTTGTGTTCCAGTCTTCCCAAGTCGGCAGGGCCAGCATATCATTGACGCTGCTGCTGGTGTGCGCCTCCTACTTCCAGTTCTCCTCGTCACTAGTGCCACGCCTGGGATATCTCACCATTCTGGACAAGCATTCGCTGTGGTGCATCTTTTTGGTCATCGTCATGGTCTTCTGGGTTGGAATCATTAAGATGGTCAGGCACCACACTGTTGCTGAGAGTCAGCTTTTGAAACAGCTTTTGTTGTGACAATAAAACTGTAAGAGGTGACAACAAACCCACAATCAATCTTGGCTGTTGTTGGCTGTTGTAACCTTCTGTTTTTTTTCCAATCAGATGGTAGTTCAATACCTCACTTTAAGCTCCCTTTTGGCAAACACCATGAACTCTAATTCAAACTCTATCTTTCTGTTTCACATTTTTCAACGATCCTCCTGTTTTAATCCAGCTATAATTGAGGCTTTGGTGGATTTTATGGCTGCCAGCTGTTTCGCGGGCATCTGGCTGCTGTCGCATGGCTGGTTTCTCCTCCGTCTCTGGCGCTCGCGAAGGCGCTCGCGCAGCCGGCTGGAACGGCCGGCCGGGAGCCACCAGCCACTGGGCAAAAAGAGCAGGGCCTTGTCTCAGCATATCCACGAATATATAGATATATAATATATATATAGTTATCTATATAGCTATCTATCTATCTATCTATCTATCTATCTCTATATTTATATATAATTATACATATATATATATAATAATATATAATAATATATATATACGCATATATGATCATATATATATGATCATATATATATAATTATATGTATATATATATGATCATATATATATATATATGCACAGTAGATAAACATACTATACATCACATAATTCTGGGTGAATTAATTCCCGACCTCACTGGCCGACGTCAGGAAGTGGAATTATCCCAAAATGACCTCTGAAAATTGGTGTAACTATAGCGATTTTAAAGGCTCTGAATTTTCGTGGGAAAAAATGATGTTTTTTACCATTGGATGGGGCCCGCGGTTCCCCATGTAACGTGTAGAGAGGGTGTGGGAACTGTTGGGGAACATGAGCGGATGGCAATTGGCCAGGAAATTTGCCATGGTTTGAAGAGGTTGGAGTATGGATAATGTCAGCCCCACTTTCAAAGGTTTACGAATTCTTCTAGAGATTGTCTCTGGCCTGACGCCAATGGCCAATTTCTACTGGAGAATCTTTCAAACATTTTCAAACTTATGGACGTCAGCTTTTCTTCGCATGTTGTTTGCTCAATTTCATTCCTGTCTTCGTACATGTTGCTTGGACAGATCCCTCGCAATTTGATTGCGACGGACCTGGTGTGAGGAGAGCGGTGCGCTGCAGACAGAACTCGGGCATTTTCTATCCAGTCTCCCCCAGACCTGATATGGATCTTCCTCACGGTGAACCCAAAGCTTTCGCCGTGAACACGGCTTGGCAATGATCGTTTTAAACACAGCGCCCGGCACCGCTTGGGTGGGGGTTTGGACACGTGGATTCCGGAGATGCTAGAATATCAATGGCCATTTCTCTGGGTATCAACATTTATCAACATTGGGTACAAAAAAGGATGGTTTCCAATTTGACATGGGGAAACATCTGTGGTTTTCTCCATGGTTTTCTCCATGGTTTTCTCGGTCTTAGAAAAATGACCCGAATCCGATGGGTCTAACGACCCAGCAATATCCAGCAATCCAAACTTCGACGAAGCGTTCCGACCGTGGTCGCACTGTTAATGACGAAACACTGAAAGACCATGGTGTTCGATGATGGATGATGGTCTGGGGTGGATCCAAAGAACGGTCTGCCAGTGATAATTCCGCGATCTTTGGCTACCGGGGTGTCCTAGGTCATGGTACCCCAATAGCTGGATGGATGAATGGTTTATTTCCATGGAAAAGCCCAATTTTTAAAAGTATGGATGATTGGTACCTGGGGTACCCCCATGACTTAGAAACCTACAGTTGTACTCTATGCCACCATTTTATGTTTGAAGATGAAGGAGATCCAGAGGTAGCCATCAGTGACAGCCCAGATTCACCCAGCCTGGAGTAGTGTTGACCCAACTCCCTGCAGAAAAGGATGCTGCAACGGGTGGTGGGTTGGTGGTGGGTTGGTGGTGGGTTGGTGGTGGATTGGTGGTGGGTTGGTGGTGGGTTGGTGGTTTCTGGTGGTCTGGGACATCCCCAACTGCCCCAACTCTTCAGGAAACATTTAAAAAAATCATGGAACGTCTCTGAAGATCGGATGGTTTATTTCTTCGGATAAAAATTCGTGACTGTCATTCACTTTTACTGGTTGGTGGTTTGGAACATGGCTTTTATGACTTTCCATATATTGGGAATTTCATCACCCCAACTGACGAGCTCCATCATTTTTCAGAGGGGTAAGCATTACCACCAAGCAGTTCATAGTAACAACGTTGGTGAATTTCCCGTGCGGCCAAAATGGGCTGGACATCTCCAAAATGATGGCCACCTGAGTTGCTTTGGCCACTGAGGCGCACGGAAAGCACGTCCCCACTTGGGACTCCTGGGGTTTTGGTGATCCCAAGGCCAGGGCCCGTCGCCAGTCTCCGTTGGGGGGTCGTCCGCTGTGAATTCATGGCGGCTTCAAATTGATTGAGCCATGAATAGGGTTGAACTATAGCTATCTATAGCTGGTTGGTGGTTTGGAACATGGCTTAAATTTGTTCCATCATATGTGGGATAATTAATCCTTCCCATTGACGAACTCCATCATTTTTCAAGATGGTTATTGCACCACCAACCAGATGATCATTAACCATCATGAACCATATAATAACCATCATATTAACCACATATTAACAGATAGCTATTTTTTGCTGGATTCCCATGGGAATGACCATAAACATCCATAACACATCCATAAACCAGGGCTGCCATGGCTTCCAAAAGTATGCAACAAATTGCCAGAGGATAATGTAGTAAACCCAATGCATGGATGGTCTTTTTTTTTTAACGTATATACAGTATATACACATATATTGCAATAAACATCCCCAAAAGAGATTTATGACATTGGGTATACGCCTAGCAATGGGATGATGTCATGGCCCCCAATGGTTTTGGTCATGGGATGGTTTATAAATTTCCGCTTCACCAGGAATAAAGATGAATGAATAGGGGATGGTGTAAGCATCAATCATTGGGGCTTTGATGTGAAACTTAAGTCTCCAGTGAACTCTCACGGATCTCGATAGATCCACATCTTTGATCATGTTTCAGTTGGTTACACAACCTCGCTTTAAACCGTTAAAACCCCAGGGTTTTTGATTCATCAACAAGTCCCTTTCTTGATGATTGTTGGGATTCTTGGGCCTCACCAATTCACAGATGTTGTTGGTCAAATCCAAATAGACTCGGTATAGGTTTTTATTGCATCCCAATTTTTTGCTTGGCCAAATCTTCAACAAAAAAAGCAGGAAGCACATTTGGAATGGCCCCCACAAAATGGAGGTGAGACAATTCCGCTGGTGGTCCACCTTTTGGACGTGTTTGTTCACCTTATGCTTACATCATCCAAGCATCGAAATCATTCAAGAAATCCAACCTTTGCTGGTTACCCTCTGGTAATTTAACGTAGCTATTGAAAATGGCCATTTATAGTTATAGTGAGTTTTCCCATTAAAAATGGTGATTTTCCATAGCTATGTTAGTTTACCAGAGGGTACATCCCATTGTCTTGCCGTTAAATCCCTACCTTTGATGGTTCAGGTTGACTCACCACTTGTCACGGATGAACTCCCAGTGTTTAAGGAAGGTTAACTCCCACTTTTTGACCGGGTTTCCGATGATAAACCCAGCACAAAATTGAGCTAACAATAAATCACTGGTGGTTGCCAATTTCTACAATATAATTTGAATATGCTTATAATATCTTATAATATATCATTTCATATCAACCCTATATTAAAGTTGGTGTAAAACCCCTATTAACATCTAGTAACTATAGTTAGAATTTCCATAGACCCTATATTAAAGTTGGAAAAAGTTGGTTTATCCATTATGAAACTTATTTTTTCGCTAAAAAAGCAGTTCTTTACATTGTTTATCTACTATAACCCCCCTTTATGTTTTAGGTATTTGACCATGCTCGCTCCAGCTCTCAAAGGTTCCCATCCGTCTGGTGCTCCGCTCCCTGGGGGGCCGCTGGATTACTTGGAAAGCCGCGCAAGGACGCGAGGCACGTGGCGTTTTTTGTTGGTTTTCCCAGGAAAATTTGGGGATTGGCCATGAACATCATGAAAGATGGCGGATTTTCTGTTTGTTGGTTGTTTTTTGTTTTCACTTGAAACCTAAGGATTTCAATCATGATTCATGGACTTTTTTTCTTGGCTTTTTTCCTGTGAAGATGGTGGATTTGGATAGACAAACGTCGGGAGTTGAGCTAAGAAACATGGTGATCTGTTTGCCAAGGCGGGTTCAACATTCTTCAACCATGATGAAAGACATGAGTCAGAATCATTGGGATTGGATGATTGGATCATCAAAGATAGTGGATTTGACCCAACAAAAATGTTCATAAATGTTCCGAAGTGAAGGAAATTTATGGAGTTCACCAGTAAACATTCACGAGAGGCACCAAGAAAAATGGAGCTTCAATCAGTCGAACCTGGTGATATCACCCACATAACGGTGATATCAGAATAACGGTGGTCCAATAGGAATTTGGAGTGCATTGACAAAAACTGGATTATCAGCCAACACATGGCACATTTCATCAACAAATTTGGGAAATTTCACAGAACATGATAAAACCAACATAGAGATATGATATACGTTATAACATGTTATAACCAGCAGGCAGTTGGAACAATCCTACACCATTTCATCCGGAGACACCGAAGGAGCGCTGGGTCGTTGCCGATGGAAATGATGGACATCTCTTCCACAGCTTCGTTCGGGCCATGAACTTCTATGGCATCCCAATCGCACAAAGCCTTAAACCCCATGGACATATATGAAAACAAAGTATTTTTTTCTTTTAATCTTTTTTAAATGCCTGGTGGGATTGGACTGGTCCAGGACTTTTGCTGGTGATATTCAGAATGTTTGTTGATGGTACAAAAATTGCCGGGCCCAGCACCATATCTCACTAAACTTCTCAGATTCTGGACTGGTCAGGTCCGAATGATACCCCCCACATCCCCCGACAAACACAAACATCATATTTCAATATATTTCATGTATTTCCCACAAGAATACACTTTGGAATGATTTTCCCCAAAAAAATCTGGCCTTTTCAGGTCAGTAGCTGAGGTATTGATGCTCAAGATCCGGAAAACAGCTTTCCGAATTTGAGGCAAAGCAGGGCACGAGGGCACCGGGGACGACTGGGGATCTCCCATACTTTAAGAAACCTCCATGTGTTATATTGAGATGCACTTTCTGCATTTTTTGAACATGTTATACATGTTTGATGGGAAGAATAAAACCGTATCAATGATCGACCAGCTATATTTTTTTTTTTCGGGGCGTTTTGAACGCATCCCTCCCCAAACCCCGAACTGGCTGACGTAGCATACATACCATGCGATGTCCGCACGGTCCGGACCCGGTCCGGGGTCCGGACCGTGCGAGGTTGCTCTACGCCCATGCACGTTCTGCGCTGGCGTTCTTTCCGAAGCACTCCCTCAGAAGTCCCTCGGTACAGTGGTCAGATTTGCGGCCATAAAAACTGGAAATCTGCGGTGGAGACATGAGAATTTTGCCAGTTTCCAGGGGAACGCCAGTGTTGATCCCCCAAAAACGGCTGAAAGTGTCAGGGACCAAACTTGTGCTTTGAAGCTTTCTGCGAACATTTTGAACTCAACAAGATCCGCTTTTATAGACATAGTCTATAGTCGATTCTTAAAACTTGTTGCTTGCACCCCCAACAGTGTTAAAGCTCCTGAATCCCAACCAGTAATCTCCAAAGTTGTTTCATATTCAAAAATCATTGCTTTTACAGTCCAGTCACCAGTCGTTTTTCATAATTTGTCATGGCTTTCTGGTGGTTTACCACTTGGAGTTTAGACTTTATCTCATGGCTTTCAACCCAAAAAAATGTTCAGACATCTGAACTTCTGGCGAGATTCTGATATCATGGGTGTGTCAGATCCCAATAGTGGCTGGTTGGTGGTTTCAAACATGAATGTTATTTTCCATAATATATGGGATGTCATCCTTCCTTAGCATGTTCGTTCGGTACGTTTGGGCGTTCAGAACGCGCGTTTTAAAAACTCGCGTTCCAGAACGCGCGTTCTGAGTGAATCCTTTTTTCCAATGATATAAAGTCAATTTATTTCCGGGGTTTGAACAGAGAAACCTTTTTCCCCCACTAAAAAAAAGGATGTGGAGCTCTTGTGGGCTCAAAATGGTAGATGCAGCCACCAGAAGGCTGATCAGCGATCTGGGCCATGACTTGGACCTTGATGGGATATGTTTGGATTGATAATTAAGTGGATAAGTGGATAAGAGTTAGTGGGAAGGGGATATATGAGATATTAAAAGGCTTTTTCTAGGGTTTGATTCGATGTTGCTTTGTGTTGCTGAGAAGAACCGTTTGGACAAAAAGCCTTAGGTCGGGCAGGCCTAAGATGGAATCCTTTTTTTAGAGGCTTTAGAAAGCGCTGGGCAGGCCAAACACGGATCCTTTTTTTAGGGCCTTTAAAAAGCGCTCGGCAGGCCAAAGACGGATCCTTTTTTTGCCTGGTTTTAAAAGAATTGTGCAGGTTAAAGCCTGCAAGTTTTGCTCCTGGACTGCTTGAAAACTTCTTGAGAACCTCCATGTGCTAGAGTGGATCCTTTTTGCAGGGAGCAAAAAAAGGATTCGGACGCTTCTGGGATCCATAAAACCACTAAAAACACCCCTGCGTTCGGAACACGCGTTCCAGAACGTACGTTTTGCGTTCTGCGTCCTTCCCATTGACGAACTCATATTTTTCAAGATGGTTAAAACCACCAACCAGGTGGACTTTATAACTTGACAAAATCCCGTGATGTCTCCATGAATTCCCATCAAGATTCCGTCAATCATTGTCCCCATGATATCATTATGATATCCCCATGGTATCCCCGTGATAATATCCACATCAATCGTTGGATTTACCTATATATATATATAGATACATATCCCGGATCGAGTTTTGACTGTTTAAACTTGAAACTTCTACTTTTGTTAGGTCCAACGGTCCAACCTCAAGTTCTTGCCGGTTTTAAAAGTCAGTGGCATCAGAATGTTTGATGGTTTTCCATACAGAGTTTTTCATGCTTAAATCAAGTGATTAGATAATTGGTTGATTATCACCTGATTGGTTAAATCACCTGATTATATAATCTCCTGATTATTGGGAGATAATCACCTGATTATAAATCTCCTGATTATATAATCAGGACAGTATCTCCCAATTCTATCACCGTTTTTCTTGATTAAATCCAATTTTCTATCATGTCAACAGTAAAGCCAATGATTGTCCCGCTGTATCCCATTGAATCCAATCAATACCACATAAATCATGAGGTATCCCCATGATTTTTGTTACTGTAATATATGTATTTTGGTTAAATACCAATATTGTTCTTAGAAAAAAGCCAAATTTGTCTGGTATTTTTTGTTTTTGAAGTATTTCAGGTGCTAAGTTTCCTCAAATTTTCCATCACTTTGAATTTCTCCGCATGACATCCGTTGTTTCGTTGGTAACACATTTTTCTTAGGTAACCAGCCATGATTTCCCCGTCGGTCACCACAGCAAAATTCAATGATTTTCGCACAACCTCCACGGCTTCGGGGATTCTCCCATTAAATCCTCCATTTATGAAATACATATATATTTAGTATATATATATATATATGTAGTATATATAAATATAAATATATATATATATATACATAATTATATATATATATGTATATGTATATATATAATATATATATATATATATTCTTATATATGGAGGTTTCCTAAAACGGGGGTACCACCAAATCATGGATTTTGCATGAACTAAACTATCCAGCTATTGGGGTCCCATCCAAGGCGTCCACCTGCACCTTCCCTGGGCGGCGCGCACGCAACGGCCACAGCGGGAAGCCATGGTGAACCTCAAGGCGTGGCGCGGTGTGGAGAATGGTACGGTACGATGACATGATGTTTATTGGATTTTGAATGTATATAGTTAATTAATGTTAATAATGTTAATAATAGTTATATATGCATACATATAACAGTAATATCAGTAATGTCTATTGTCTATCTATGTGTGTGTGGAACATCTGAACAGATGTAAAACTTCTATTTCTTTTATTTCATGCGTAAAAGCAGGGGGGCAACAGCCCATCTTCCTATGTTGCCCAACGAAGCTATGGAAGATGTGGTGGAAGGGTTCATGGATGCATGAGCCTGTACCTGCTCTCTGTATGGTATCCGGCAAACCCAAGAACCGGCTTGCCGTTTATCATGTCATGTCATGCGTTTTCTAGGGTAGGTGAGCAAGGTCAAGTGAAACAATGTTGCGTAGCTGGTGGTCACATTTGGCGATTCTGTATGTCTCGCCTTTTTTGGAAACATGGTGATGCACCTGGATGCAGATGCATAGCTGGTGGTCGCATGCGGCGATTCTATGTGTCTCGCCAATTTGGAACCAGTGTGATGGACCTGAATGCTGTTGCATAGCTGGTGGTCACCTAAACTAAAAACTAATGAATGGCAGGGGTCCATCGTCATTGGTATTTCACAGAAATGGCGAAGGGCTAGGCCGAGAACCCTACCGGGACAATCTCTTCTCGAATGTGTACGATTGCCGCAAATCAAATCTACCTTACCCCAACAATCTTGTTTAATATTAGCTGCACGTTTTGGGATTCAGTTCCCGACGGATCACCGCAATGATCCAGTTCTTGTCTAGTGTGATTTCCATGGTGACTCTACTTATCTAAATTTGAAACGTACGCTCGAGTCACACCTCAAAAACTTGACGGTTGCATGTGACTGTGACCTTGACGGTGAGTTTGACGGATCCGTGTTTCATGACGGTGAGTTTGACGGAAAGGTCGACGGTGAAGTTGACGGTCCATCAAAGTGTCCGTCAAGGTGCCCGTCACTACAAAATAAGGCTTATTTTGATGAACTATTCGTCCAAAATAAGCCGTATTTTATTAAAATAAACCTTATTTTGTCGTGACGGACACCTTGACGGACACTTTGACGGACTGTCAACCTCACCGTCGACCTCTCCGTCAACCTCACCGTCACAAAAAGAGAACCCGTCAACCTCACCCTCGATCGCTCCGTCAAGCTAACCGTCAAGCATCCCGCATGCGCCACTAGAAACCTCAAATTCATACATTTTAAATTTAGATAAGCGTATACGCAGTATTTCCTGCAATTTCTCTTCTCATGCGCGACGACAGGGAATCCTCAATGTTGCAGTCCGGGCAAACCAGGGGGTCTGTGCGTAGTCAGTTTTAAACTCTTGGGATCCTTGAATTTACAGGCCGATCTACTTAGAACCCCATTTGAAAAATGTTTCGAGAGGTTTCTCCCGGGTTTTGGGTGATGCTGGATGTCTCAGGGTCCTTTTCCGAGTAATTAATTCTTTGACCAAGCGATGATGTTAGTGCCCACACGCGCAACCCCTTCCCGGAATTCTTTGAAAGGAACATTTACGGGTGCACCCCCAACATGGTCATTGTAAATGGGAAAATAGTGATCAACCGAGAAACCATCAAATTTGAAGGTAGCATATGTCTCAACATGTCTCAAACCCACATTGGGGGGTAGATTCACCATGGTTTTCCTGTGGGGCCTGCCTCAGCTTCTTTTGGATGCTTGCAGCGTGCTGGAACAGCGCGGAGAGCTTCATATCGTTCCATGGCCGGACGTCCACGTGACTTTTGGGTAGAGATTTCCACTTTTTGGATCTTTTGGCGGATTTGAAGGCTTGTTGGCATCACTTTTTGATGGTTGATTAAGGGTCCACCCCTTGTGATCTTCAGCCAGGTGGACACAAGTTGGGCAACGGCCAGTTCGTGTTTCTCCCATGAACCACAGTACCGAAAAAGCTTCTTGTTTTGGGGTCACGGCAGGGTTCCAAGTCTTATCTCAGATGTTCTGGACATACACCCCTGAACACACACCTGATGCACAGAAATTTCAATATACCTGGGTGTGTCTGAAATTAGTGTACCCCTAAACCCAATGGTTAATGATCATTATCCCTATTAAATGGCTATAATTGGGAATATACCCTATTTTCAGACAAACCCATATACCTCCTCGAATTTTAGATCCCGGCAGTCCCAACTTTCAACCGGATTTTTTTTGGTTTCCAAACACATTCCTTGAGGTCTCGATGCTGCGATATCGAGTAGTAGCAGTTGCCGTTGATGATTGTTCCCTAGTCGTACAGTGTGCAGGACACTGAACACCTTCGAGTTCAGAAAATACCTGGAAAAGGCAAACTGTTTAATAGTACATATTTCATACATATTACAGAGATAAATCATCTTCCATAGTTCCAGTGTTACCCAGATATCTAAAGCTACACATCTATAGATACCTTCCAGCAAGGTGACAGACAGTGAGGAGCTGATGCAACAGGCCGGGATGAAACATCGTTTTTTTTTTTTTAGGATGATGTGACTAGCTTCTTTGGCTACGTATGTGTATATATATATATACACATACATATGCCGCTAGGGGGCTGACATTTGCCCGAAATCCACGGAATTCCATGGACTGAAATCTGTTGTGTTCTTTGGGTGCGTGTTTTTTTTTGCAAACTGGGAACATACAAGATATTTCCTGCGTCTCCTGGCATTTTTGCGCTTACAAAGAGACGGTGCCAAAATCACCTTTTGAAGCATGTCTTAAAGATATCCTCCGTAATTTGCAGTGTTTCGAGCTGTTAACGAAAACCTCAACAAACCGCAGTTTTTTGAAACAACACCAAAATAACCTGACCCTAAATAGACCCTAAACAAACCCTAAACCAACCCCAAATCAAACATAAATAGACCCTAAAAGAACCTTGAATAAAGCCCTAAAACAACCCCAAATAGCACGAAAATTAACCCTAAATAAACACTAAAGAAAATCCAATAAACCAACCCTAAATAGACACTAAAACAATCTTTCAAAATCCTAAACAAACCACAACGCAAGCAAATCCTAATGAAACTTTGGGCGAACGTCCGCCCCGGAGGGACATATGTATGTATATATAAATATAGATGTAGTTGCCTCATTATTCCCAGTTTTCCCCAACCTTTCTATGAATGGATCGTTGAGTTGCTGCAATAGCCATTGGTTCGTAAATCCACAGTAGACTCTTCAGCGTAGACCCTGATCCCAGTTCTACTTAAATGCCATTCTAATTGGGGTTACAAATGCCACAGAAATCGATCACTGCAGTGAAAGAATGGTTATAAACCTCATTTTTTTTGATGACATGTATATATATATATAATATACATATCATATGTATGCCTGTCTATACAACACTATTGTGTATATATATATACATATATATATATATTATATGTATATACATGGTTATAGCCCACAAGCAAAAAGTTCTGGGGCCCATCATTTTTTTGTTCAGCGCCGTTCACGGGCCTTGCGCTGAGTCAGGCCTGTGCTGTGGTCATGAAGAGCAAACTCTTCGCATCGAGCTTCGCCTTTCCTTTCCACATGGAAGGTGCGCTACCGAGCTACGGAGCTATGGGTACTGTATCCATATTCCCATATGGGTATAACTGGCTGAATTCTATGGTTTATGGTAGATATAACGAACTAGTAAATGGGGGTTATATTGGTTTATAATTTTAATCTGCTTGGTGGTGACTGGAACATGGCTTTTATATGCTTTTATGACTTTCCATAAATTGGGAATGATCCCAATTGACGAACTCCATCATTTTTCAGAAGGGTAGGTCAACCAGCAGCCTATTAAAGGGGGAGCCTGAGCCAAAATCAGAGTTGCAGCACCTGACAGGTCTTCCGAAGTCATATCCCGGAGACTTGGATTTGATCAAAATCTCAAGCGGAAACCATGGCTATTGTAGCACCAAATATAGAGGTACGGTTTCCTGTGAAACGTCCTTTGGAGCCAGTCCTGAAACTCAGGTCTTCAGCAGCTTCAGCAGCTAAAAGCATGCACTTCTCAAAATTTACTGTCTTTTGAAGTGACTTTGGTGGGTTATGTATGTATATATATATACCCTCTGGTAATTTAACATAGCTATGGAAAATCACCATGCTATTAATGGGTAAATCCACTATTTCTATGGCAATTTTCAATAGCTTTTTGTATGTTTACCAGAGGGTACATACACGCACATCTGAGAAGGGATGATGATCCCTGATGTTTTACCATCTCTCCTGTTGGTCGCCGAATATAGTACAATCATAGGTGGAAATCACCCACCGCTCCACGGCACGAGGCTTGTGACCCCTCCTTACGGAAGAATTTTTTGTGACCCCTATTTGAGGGCAAGAATTGTCTTAGTGGATCCCAGACAAAACATGAGCAATGCCCCATTTTTTCCATCCAAATGCCTATTGCTTGATGATTTGTAATGAGATGAACAGCATTTTTTCATGGGGATGACATGATCAGATATGGACACTGGCGCTGGTTTTTGCGAGAGATGGAGTTGCAGCAAAGCCTATCGAAATCCTGAACGATTGTCCCGCTGATCTACATACATATGCATATAATATGTATATATTTGATTACAACCTCAAAGCATGCTAGTACTGCAAATATCCAGACATATTTCCACTACAGTATATAAGTTATATAAGATCCAATCAGTAGCAGTAGCCAATCGCTTCTCAGGAACAGATCATTTGCTGGCAGATCGCGCCATCGTCACAGGCGTTCCATGGGACGAACTCGGTTTTGCGATTTGCTGGGGATTTGCCCAAATTGATCCCATGAAAATTTGAAAAATCCTGGTTTGCTCGGATGGGAACTTAGAGACTGGACGTTTCACGAACGACAACGGCCTGACACAACGACAACGGCGGTGAATCTCTGCAGGTCTTCCCCATGGCGACCTGGTGGGATCCTTAAAACATGTTAAAACACGTGAACACCACGTTCCGCGATTGGGGGAACATGGTATGCGAAGCCGCGCAAGGCGAAGCATCCAGTCAGGTGGTCTTGTTCTACAGCCGCTGGGACACTTGGACCTCGAGTTTATTGGGTGTCAATACAGTAATTCTTGAACAGCATTTACCCTCTGGTAATTTAACATAGCTATGGAAAATCATCATTTTTAATGGGTAAATCCACTATAATTTTCAATAGCTTTTTGTATGTTTACCAGAGGCTATCTAAATCTAATATGAACTGTGGACGGAGTCGCTTGGGAAAGAGTATGGCCCCTGAGGATTTCCAGATGGATCGGTGACTCAGTTATCATTCCATTGATTCCCAACTTTGCTGGGTATGGGTCAACTTGGTGGCTCATCCCACTTAGTAAGTGGGTTATAAGTGGATTAACCCTACTTATCCCATTTATAACTGGGGTTATAACCCACTTACGAGCCGTGGGATGAGCCACCAAGTTGACCCATCAGACCCAACTGTTGCCCCAAAAAGATGATCCAACGGACTCGTCGCCGTTCCGTTTGTGCCGTTTTCCAGGAGAAGAAAGCGCCACAGTCGCCCAACTTTCGCTTCCAGGGCGGTATGCCCACCTTGCCTTTGCCTCGTGGCAGCAGTTCCTTCCGGTCACCGGGATGACCACGGGTTTCCTGCCACGCTGCCACACCCGAGCACAGCGCTGAGGTTGGAGGAATAGCATCGCCAACTTCGATGGACGACTCCATCAACGACATCCGCGGCGTCGTGAACTCGATGACGACCAGAGCGGCGCAGACCCATTGGTGTCAGCGTTGGGAAAAAAGGGGAAACGGGCTGAGGATGGAGCGACTGGTGGCCATTGTCGTCTGAAACTGGAGGATCATGACGAAAACTTCATCCCAACTAATTAGTCAGAGTAAGTTCCAAACTTCTTAAGAGGAAATTCAGGATATATCACAATGATCATCCCAACTATATCATGTTTTTTCTCTCCTTTCCTCCATTTTCCATGTCTTTGTTGGTTCGTGAAACTGATTCTGGGTGACTCGCCCTGCTCCCGTGGCTGCTCTGCTGTTCAGCTTGCTTGAGCAAGCCAAGAAAGGCCGAGGCCTTGGCCGAGGCCTTGTGGTCGTGGCGACGGAAATGGTGCGGGAAATGTTGGAATTTGATGAATTTGAGGGATCAGACCAGGTACTCTAAGAATTGGTTAGTTATATACCTTAGTAATGTGCCCTCCAATCTTTTTAAACCTTGCATCCTTTTTATTAGCCTTGCCAGATTTTTTGACGTGGCTAAACCATGCTAAACCCCTATATATATACATACATATTTTATATATACACACACACCTTCCCCAAGCTGGAAATAGAGTGTGTAAAAGAACCCCCAGTTGGAGGTTTGTTGGGTTTACATTTCAATCCGAGTTAGGGTGACATTTCACAATGTGTATAATTGTTAGGATAGATTATGGTAGATTCGCGCCCATTAGAATGTCATGACAAGGAAGATCTGTTTCAAGATCTGTCATCTTACTACACGCAGAACAAGGGCTTGATGTGCAAGAATAGTGCTTGCTGGCCTATTGCCAACAGAGTAGCTTGCACTCGGTCAGTTTTCGAGTTCCCCCTGCACATTCCGTTTCATCAGGCGTGTTGCGAGGCAGAGATTAGATATGAGTTTGTAATGATTTAATATGTGTATATATATATGTAACTGTATATACACACACCTATTATGTCCCAAGGCAACATGATTTTCATCTCCACGTGATACTGTCTACCAAAGGACACAACTTTAAAGAACCGCATTCATGGCATATACACGATACAGATATCCATTTATATATATATAGATAGATACACAATAATATATGTCTATATGCATCACGCCTATAACAAACTCATATATACATATACATGTATACATATGTATATTATAATATATCGTATGTCCAGGTTCCTGTGTTAACATGTCTCCACACATTCCATGGATCCACAGGCACCAATGGACTGCAGCACCACGCTGCAGCTCAACAAAGCCATCAATGCCTGCGCCAGAGGCGCCGAGACCATATCCCAAGATGTCTTGATGGTTTGTGGTAGATATAGCTATAGTTAATGGACGTCAATGGCGTTTATAAACCAACTTATTCTTATTACTGATATACAATCTTATATGGGAATATGATATACATTCTTATTATGCAAGATATACATTTTTCATCATTTTTCTTGGTGTACGTAAGTGGCTAAATTCTATGGTTTATGGTAGATATAACTATACTTAACGGATGTTAATGGGGTTTATAAACCAACTTATTCTTGTTACTGATATACAATCGTATTATCCGAGATATACATTTTTCTTGGTGTATATAAGTGGCTGAATTCTATGGTTTATGGTAGATATAGCTATAGTTAATGGATGTTAATGGTAAATCAACTTACTCTTATAACTTATATACAATCTTATATGGAAAAAGATATACAATCTGATTATACAAGATATACATTTTGTTTGGTGTATAAATATACTATATGCTGGGGATACAACTGGGGTATAATTTATGGACATAGATATGGAATGATATGGAATGATCTGGCTATATGATGACCATTAACCAACTGTATCCGGAGAACGTATTTCAATGAGACAAATTTAAACTTAGTATGGTAGTATGGAAGAATATGGGGGATATACTATGGTATGGGGTTATACTGGCACTATGGTAGGTGGCTTCATTCACATGTTACTCAATGAACATTCTTATTGGGTTTTCCATATGTGTGATGGTCAAACGTTTAATGATTAAACCCCATCTCCATTCCATGGCCGTCAATCCATGGGATTTGATGCATCCATTGGATTCCTATTCTGGGATGATCATGCTGGGGGAAAAAAACAACATCAGTGGGTCCCCAAAAAGATATCTACATATAGAAATATACACATATGTTATATATGTTATATATATATATATGTATATATATATATGTATATATATATATCGAATATACACATACATTGTTATATGATATATATATGTATATCGTATCATATGTATAATCATATCATATCATGTATCAAATACCAGGCGAACGCTGGGTCGAAGCTCTGCAGCTCTTCCGCGGCACATGGTGTAAGCATCGCCGCGATGCCATTAGCACCTTGGATTTCGCCATGACGATTTCATGGTTTTTCCCATGGGATTCAACCATTGGAAATGTGTTTTTTTTTTTTTTAATGGGACATGGGAATATCGAAATGGCTGGTTGGTGGTGACTGGAACCATGGAAATTTATATGACTTTCCCATCATATTGGGAATGGAATAATCATCCCAACTGACGAACTAAGATTTTTCAGAGGGGGGGGATGAAACCACCAACCAGATGGGGATATTTCATGGGATATAACTGACCATTCAGAAATGGATTTTCATGTGGGCCATTTAGAGATGATATTTAGAAGCCAGGCCAGTGGTGGGTCATTGGGGATGGTAGTTGCCCAAAAAATTGACAATGGTATCTCCAGGTGAATCCTGTCTATGTTGCAAACTATTCTTCTATAACTTTTCTGCCAGGTGAGAATAGTTCAAGAAACATTTTGTTCTAACTTGTATTTAGAAACTGCTCACAAGGTGGCGGCTCGCAACATGGGAATGGGCCAAGCAAAGGGCCAATTTGATGATTTTTCGGGTACATGTAATCAAGCGGGGGACCAAGCGGCACCCTTAAGAAACAGAGGGATAGAGCCTTCAACAATGGGTGAAGGTTGAGATGTTAACCAATAAAAGATTCTGATAGTGGCAATAGCTTAGCTAGGTATGTAAGGTGCGCCAACTTGCGCGTTATGTCATCCACTGGTTCAGCCCATGTGGATTCCAGCGATGAATCCATTTGGTTGAACAACGGTCGGACCGAACTTTTTCGGCGTCTCTGACAAAAAGGGAGGGGTTTTTCCACCCAAATGTGAAGTGGTTGGTATATGATCACTATTGATAACCATTGATCACCATTGATCACCTTAAATCAATTTTCTTTTCAACCGTATTTGGGATATGATCACCATTGATCACCAATGACGAGCATCTCCCATTTTTTCAGGGGGGTGAAACCACCAAGCCGTGAATGAATTAGGCAGCCGTGAAAGCACTCGAGTTTCGACCAGGACATCACAGGACATTCGACCATTGCTGGTTTCTTATCATGTTATTTTGTGTGATATGGGTGTGCCAAAAAAATGATAAGTTTGTGGTATACCAGCACTTGATGGACATCTTCATAGGGACGATGATGAGTCAGCATCAAAATTGGGGGAGTTCCCCATCATTTTCAGACAAACTCATATCCCAACTCATTTTGTATAATTTGAACTAATTCGATACTCTGGGTCCGTTTTTTTATTGAATATATATATATATATACCAAACTATATAATGGTAGTTGATACTCCGGGTCAAGATTCAATTTGCTGCACCTCCATAAACTCACCACTGGCTCGACCGGGTCCACTGGCTCGAGCCATTTCCCAAAGTCGCCCTTTAGGCTACAATTCCACAGCCAATGCATGTGTGAAAGGACGACAGGGCGTGGTACCTGATGGTGACCTTGAGTTAAGTTGGACAGAAGATGCCAGGAGGTGACAGAAATGTGGCATTGAATACAACCATTTTTTCCACCTAGATTTCCTCTTCACATTTGCCGAAATGACCAATCTTTTCGGGTTGGAAAAACTATGGTTTGCAATCACATTTCCACTATATCAATCCATCGAAACATATTATGAACCATTTTTTATCACCATATTAGCTGATACCCCAACAATGATCTCATTGTTGGTTCGTATCCTATATGAATCCTTAAAGAATCCTCAAGATTCTTTGTTTCAATCCATTTTACTGGGTCTATTCACTGTTTTAACTGGTTAGATCCCTCATGTTTACTGGCTACCCCAGTTTGAGTTTGTCGGAAAGTACAGTGGTGGGTAGTAGGGGTACCACCAAAATTCATAGTTGATCATCTTTTTTCCTATTCAACTGGCAATCTTGGGGTATACCCATTCTTAGACGCACACCAGTTGGAATACATACATAGGTCGTTACCTATCCAATTCTATCCCCACCCATTATCCACCGTCAAAACCTCGAACCTTGTTATGTCACAATAATCATGTTCCTCGGCGCTGACTGGTTGGTCATTGGTTGGTCATTGGTTGGTCATTCCCCAAGGATTTTATCATCATTTCCCCATCATTTCAACCCATTGGTCTCATAGACCCAGCCCCATTTCATACAGCTATTACCCTCTGGTAAATTAACATAGACCCTGAAAATAACTAATTTTTAATGGAAACTAATCTTCCAAGTCCTATTTGCCAGGGTCTATGTTAATTTACCAGAGGGTATATTCCCATTCTATCCCCATTACCCTCTGGTAATTCAACGTGGCGAAGAAAAATCATTGGTCGTCAACAAGAATCATCGAAGTAATTGGGCCATTTTCAAAACCATTTTCCATAAATTACATAGCTATGTCACATAACCAAAGGGCATATCACCATTTATCATACATATCATATATATATATCTCCATATATATATATATCCCCATATATATATATATATTCCCCATATATATATATTCCCCATATATATATATTCCCCATATATATATATATTCCCCATATATATATATATATCCACCATATATATATATATGTCCTCATTATATTGCTGCAAGGTGAGCGCCTGCAGTTACAAATGAGTCTATGCACCTCCCCATAAACCCAAAGGTTAACCAAGTTTTCGGAGTCAACTTAGCTATCAGAAAAACAGGGGCCTCACCGAATGCAGATATGGGGCTTGTGATTTCGGATTTTCCATGGAAATCATCCAACCAGCTATTGGGATCGTCCATGACGACATGGAAATCCCCATAATTAATCATAATTAATCATAATTATACCTATACATAGAATATTGATCATGAAAAAAAACATCATTTACCATCATTGTTTATCATGGAAAATCGGATTTTCCATTATGGAACCCCCCTTGACTAACCAATCTAACCACCGTCGACCCGACTGAAGATTGGGGCCAGGAGAACAGTGGCAGCTGGCGTTGCTTCTCTTTGGAGAACTGCCGGAGCGAAGCTTTTTGCGCATCAAATTTTGGGGGATCTTTTTGGAATTAATGGCTGGATAACCAGTAATATTGGGGTATTCATACATATCTATATCTGTATCGGATATCTGATATCTGATATCTGATATGTATATCTATATCTATATCTATATCTGGTATCTGGTATCTATATCTATATCTATATCTATATAAATATATGTATATGTCTATGTCTATGTATAGGCATGATTGCATATGCACATATAGAAGCAACAATAATATGATATTTAGGGCCCTCTGAAACTGGGGTACTCCCACCAGACACGGCCATACACGATATATGCGCAGATCTTCAGATATTTTTTTACAGAAAGTATGCAACACAAAAAACACAATCCGTGCATATATATATATATTATATATATATATGACTTTTAAGCTACGCTTTTTTTGGATTAGCAGACTTGGTGTAAGGGAAAATCGGCAGGACATCATCATATTTGGGAGTAAAATAAATTCCATGGTTTCCCATAGATTTTTCTTGAAACCAATACATTGAGTGAGATGCATTCAACCTTTTCTATGGGAGAAAACATACGGGATGCCGAGTCCGACTGGCAAAGAGCACATTTTTTAACGTTTCAATTTTATCACTTGGCGGCTTTACGTTCGACAATTAATCTGCTAAGCATTCCTAAGCTAGGATTACGCTCCAAATTCACTGTAATATTTTGTTGGAAAATCTAGAGGAAACCAGAGATTTTCCCATTCAATATGGGGTTTTCCTGTAAATTTTCCCTTAAAGCAATCCATTGATTTGTTGGATGGGTTTGAACAGCAGGAGAGTGAACGCACCGTGATTTCCTACAACATCGCCATGAAAGCTTTCGAGAAGGCGGCGTTCTTTGTGGAGAGAAGGATCCCCCAAAACGACACCAATTTATGGGCTATATCAACCAGTATCAACCAGTATCAATCAGTATCAACCAGTATCAACCATTGGCAAACGGTAGGTTTATCATGGTTTATCCCACATTAACTAATCCTGGCATGGTTTTTTCGCTCAACGCGATGGGTGCCACGGACTCCCCCTGTCACCAGGCGAGTGCGTGGCTTCAATCCCTGGATTTATTGCATCAGATGCGTCTCCACGACATCAAGACGGACATCATCAGTTGCAACACCGTAGCTGGGCCAGTCTGGACTGCGGCTGGTTGGGGCCCGGTTGGGGGAGGTGAAATTGGATGATTTTGGTACGCCGGTCCTACGTGTATTAGCGTGCCCCACATGCAACACCACGGTCGAGGCCAAAACGCTTGACGGTCGCAGTCAAGTTTGACATAGAAATAGCACTGGTTGCTTTTGGCAGGCTTTCTCATTTAACCGTTCCAGAACTTTTTGCTGAGCCTCAGTAGGGAACCTCAACAAGGTTGCTCTCTGAGTCCCCAACAAAGACATTCAGAAGCCGCCACAATGCCGCCCTAGCGGGCGCTTGCGAAACAGCAAAGGACCATGTTGTGAGGGACGGAGGCAGTACCGAGCAAGCGGCTTCCACTGCCTAACGGCCCTTTTTGAACTGACAAGAAATTCCTCTCCAGAAGGCAGCTCCCACCGGCAAAATGAGTTCCAAAAATTTCCAAAATGGACTGGCAAATCCCATGCTGCTGAAGGACAAGGCGGCCCGGCCGGCTCAGGTTCCCAGTGCTTAACAGTGCTTTCTGGAATGTCAAGAAGAAAGCCAAAACTACAGTGGGGATGAGGAAACACAGCTTCAAAACACCAAACCCCCAAGCTGCTGAAGGCTGCCAGTGCCTAACGTTGCTTTCTGGACCATCAAGAAGAAAGCCCAAGACTGCAGTGGGGATGGAGAAACACAGGCTTACGCCAAATCCTCATGCTGCTGGAGGACGAGGCGGCCCGGGCGGCTGGGGCTGCCAGTGCCTAACGTTGCTTTCTGGATCTTTCTGGAATGTCAAGAAGAAAGCCAAATGTACCGTGGGGATGGAGAAACAGGCTTCGAAACGCTAAATCCCGATGCTGCTGAAGGACGAGGTGGCCCGGTCGGGTGGGGCTGCCAGTGCCTAACGTTGCTTTCTGGAATGTCAAGAAGAAAGCCAAAACCACTGTGGGAATGGAGAAACGCAGGCTTCGAAACGCCAAATCCTATGCTGCTGAAGGACGCGGCGGCCCGGCCGGCTGGGGCTGCCAGTGCCTACCGTTGCTTTCTGGACGGTGGGGATGGAGAAGCAGAGGCTTCGAAATGCCAAATCCCGGCTCGGAGCAGCAGCAGCCGGGCCTCGAAAGCGTTGGAATTGCAGTTGCTTCTCTGACGCGTTCCCCTGTGGTAGGCAGGGGTCGGCGGATTGCAGTTGTTTTTCATTCAAATTCCATGGGCATGTCCATCTTTGGGACTTCGTGATTCGGAACCATGTTTTTCACCATCCAATCCTGGCGATCTCAGATTTTCAGCCTGCTGCAGGCCGTCTCAGCATGTGGAAAAAATTCACAGTGGCAACTGGCCGTGGCCATGGCTCTTTGGAATCCAGATCTGGTGGGCATCAATGCAGCGTGTCACGGCGGCCAGCGACGGTGTTTAACGGATCGGAACTTCACGGCTCCATGAACTAGTACATGTGTGTCATTGCGTGTCCATATATTGACTGACCTATGATTGTTCAATGTCCGAACTTACAAGGGACATGTGCTGAAAAACTTGCAACTTCTAGCGATTTGGATAACCATCCGCTGCTCAGAAAATTGGGCCAAAATTCGTGGACAAAATTTGGGGATGTATAGCAATGGTAGGTGGAAAGTCTGACTTATGCCATCCTCAGACACATAGACACATGACCATTAACTTAAAGGAGAGGTTGTCCATGGAGTTGGCTTAGAAATGTTTAACACATTTCCTCGCTACATTAGGGCTTGCCCAAAAATGATTGACATCCGAGTTTATGGCGATATCAATTGGGCAAATGATGGTCATGCCAGGGATTTTTTGGGTCCTTTTTTTTTTCCATTAAATCACTGGATTGATTACAGAAACTCCCTATAATATATTTGATGGTCATAGAAACCATGGCTTTCCTGTGGATTTCCCTGTTTTTTGGCGATGTATCATGATGTATCATGATGTATCCGGTTAAGTTCCCCTCGGAACTTATTGCATGACTTCTCAACTTAACCCAGGTCTTGCTTGAACATGAGTTACCCCGCATTCTCCGTGCAAGGATTGATGCATGCTCCTCAGCGTCTGAGTGGGAACACTCGTCGTGTTTGTTGCTTCTTAGCAAAAAATGCTGGGGCCGCGTTGTTTCTACAACTTGGGGACTCCAACGAGATCCCAGCATTGATTCATTGGATTTCGGCGATGACCTGCAGACCCTTTGATTATCGGGGGCACCACCTTTGATCAGTTCGCCATGGTTTTTCGATGGCCCATTTATCGAAATAGATGGGCCATACCGAACAAAAAAACATGGAATTTTCCATGGCAAACTGATAGTCATAACCAGAGGGTATAATTAAAAACCATGATTAGATTAGATACATAATCAGATTAAAAACCTTCAGTTACAATTCACTATAGAAATATTAGACTCCTTAATATTTTTGCGAATTCGTGTTTTGTTCACGTCACAACTTCCAGGGTCATGCTGGTTATAGAAATCTCGCTCGAGTTTCGAGGAAGTGGGGAGCGACTGGGATGGGTCTTGCTACCTATGCTTTTCCATTGGAATGATGAACATACATAAATCACAGCTATTGAATGGTTTTACCACGCTTCCCAAATCCTGCAAACAAACAAATGTGACTTTTATTTCTTAATCTAGCCCCGTTACTACCATGGACACACACGCTAAATCCAAGAACTAGGCAGGTTTTTTTTTGGGTTTAGGTTGACACCAGATATTTTGCAGAATAAAGATGCAAATCCCTGGCCCCTAATATTAAACACACCCCAGAAAGCATGCTTTCAGGGATTCACAGATATTTGGGACATTTTGGGACCATATAGCCAGGGGATGTTTGACATGAGCGCCCGGGAGATGA